ATTCAGACTGGTTAAATCTTATCTGATTAATGGCATATGTAAATTAAATTCTGTATCCAATTTTAAATTATACTGGTACAAAATTGTTTTACAAGAGGAAATTAAAGAATGTGATTCTAGGTTACTGAAAAAAAATTCAAATGAAAGAGAAAGCATTACACACATACAAAAATTGGGGAGGTTAAAAAATCAGTTCAGTTGCAACAGAAAAGAAAAAAGGAAAAAAAAAACCCACAGCTGACAAGTTCTGTTTTGTCTCTTCAACGAGGACAGATTTTTTCTTTAGACAAGAACAGGTCTGCTTGCATGAGAAAATGGTACTGCCTGGTGGGAGTTAGTTTTAGTGGAATAAGTGAGATAACAGAAGAAAAAAATGCCTGTAGAGGCCTCTGTGCATCCGAGGCATCCAGAACTACAAATGCTTTCAGACTCAGATCTTTTATCACTGAAACCTTATGTGATCATTCAGTCTCCAAGCAGCCTGTTCTTGCTAGTTTGAGTTTGATAAATGAAACAAGTGGTTACATGGTTGTATTTGACAAAAGTTGTATAAAAGCTTGGCAGGTTTGCAGAGATTTCAGCAATTCCAATTAGAAAAATGGAAGAAATATTTCCCATGACACAGCAAGCCACAACCATTGAAGTCAGTACAATTTAACTTCCCTGAGTCTGTGAGATCTCCTGGACTTTTAAGGAGAATCACTCTGAACCACTGCTAACTCTTTTTTCTCACAGCACTGTCTGGAATCAGCTTCTCTAAGGTGCAACCAACAAAACATTGAAACAGTAACATAGTGTAATTACTGCATAGACATAGTATACTTACTAATATGTACTAATGCTAATACGATGCACACAGAGCTATTTTCCTTTTAAGCACTGCTGTACTCCTGATGCTTCTTATTACAGAGAAGCTTGTGTTCTTTTTCTGGAATCTCTTACAAAGATTTTTGCTGCCATGCTCTGTCCTCAACTGTCCTCAGCCAGAAAATTTTATGCACTGTGCAGTTAACCCCAGCAAAAGTTGTTATCTGCTGTGTTAAACACAGGCACAAAACCATCAGAGTTCAACATTTTTTTACAAACTAAACTTAAATAAAATTACAGACTTAATTTGAAGATGTCTCAGATCCTAATCTCTGAGATCTGTGTCTCCGAGACCTCCAAAGTCCAGGCTTTGCCTTATCTGGCAGTACCGACCACTACAAATACCAGCACATCTTCAGAATGTCAGCAAAGATGTCCTATTAAATATTTTCCTCTGTCTTTTTCCTCTTTGATAAATAGCAAAATCTACTTTAATGCACCAATTTTCATTAACAAGCTTTACAAATACCAGCAGAACTTACAAAAGAAGAACAGTGATTGGCAATAAAGCCCATACAGATGTATTTCTGTGCCCATGAAGGAAGCAGCTGTTTGTTGAATTTAGGATAATGAAATCTTCCTTGACATACAGACTGTGAACAACATCATATTGGCTTACGCAATGTGTATCAACAATTCTTGTTAGTTTTCATGGCTTCAAGGCTTATCAGACCATTTTTCTGCATTTCTCTGAACAAAGTTTGAGCCACGGATGTTGGAAAGAAAACAGACGACAAATACACTGGAGAGTATAGTAAATCTGCAGACTTTGGTGTAGACTTTGTCTATGTCCACTAAAACTGTATTCAAACAGGGAACAAAGTAAATAGCAAGCAGAGTTTGTCCAAAAATAGCTCTAAATGCTGTCAGTATAAGAGATGTTAATGATAGATACATCATCCCTTTGTTGGCTTCCACAGTTCTACAAGGGGATTCAAGTCTTTAACAGTTTTCTCACTAAGAGAAACATTTTCGTAAGCTAGGTGACCTTCAATACTGAGTAACAGGAACTGCTCTGCTAATATGGTTACATGTAGGGAAACATGGCTTGAAGGTTATAGACAAGTTCAAAGTGCATAACAATTTATACCTGAGAAGATTTAACTGTGCAGCAGCTGATTTTGTAATTAATAGGCTCCTTCTGTATTTATTCTCGTCCCACATATTTGGGGGATAGGAATTTACAGGGTCTAACTTACACGTTGACTTGTCAAAATCTTATTTCGTTATCATTCTTAATCCATCCAAGTTGGACCTGAGCCATGGATGATGTCTAATCTTACTGGAACTAGATTTCATATCTGCTTATTGTTTTGCTTTCTGATGTTGACCTTTTTTTGTTAACTGGTTCAATGTGTGATAACTGCTCCTTGAAAGCCTTCTCAACTGCATTATTCAAAGTTCTTTAAGATCTGAAGTTGGGGCTTTAAGTAGGATTTATTTTATTATTATTATAAAGAGTTAAGGAATATAGTATTTCTGTGCCAGATATTAAGTCTATTTTATGACCAAGGGAAAGTACACAGCATTTTACTGATTATTCAGAGTAAGAAATAGAATATAGATCTGATAAATATCTGAAATTTTTTCACTAATAAGCATTCAAAGACTATTTCTGAACAAAACAACATTATTTAGTCCTAATCACAACATTCAACTTAACTGCCAAAAGATGATTTGAGAGAAAAGGAATTTTGTAAATATTACAAATTATTTCAGAAAATCACCTGGGAATAAATTCAGGGATGGAAGAAAGCTAGATTTTGTGAAGTTTTATTTACATAAAATATGTGATTTGAATATGTGATTGTATTTCCCAGTGTAATTTGGAAATTTACATGTGCTTTTGTCTTGTAAAGTTTTGGATTACTGTACCCTTTGTAAGCAAAAATAATTGCCTCTAGAGCAATGATCTTCTACCCACAGAGCCCAGTTTTGAATTTTTATGTTTAGCTCCTCCTGATCCATTTTCTCTGCATCTGGTAGATGCATAACACTCAGTTCCTGCAAGACAGTTTATCCCATTCTTTTTCAAGGAATACATTTTTCATCCCTTCTCTGCACTTCCTAAAATATTTTTAGTCCATCATGATTCTTCTGAAGGTATTGCAAGTGATAAAATAGAGACAGATAATGAGTTTTGTTCATTTGTGCTACATCTGTGATAAGAGACTAGAGGTTAAGAATTTTCCATGGTAACTAGAACGGCTGAAAGTTCTTTTGACAATAACATGATGGATTCCAATTTTAGTTATTTAGAAATAAATATGGTACTTTAAGAAAAGTTACTCCAAAGATACCCATTATTAACTTCTTACTCCAGGTAAGAAGACTAGTGTTCTACTTGAGGGGCCCTGACTCTAGAAAAAAAAAATAATTTTCGGGCTTGGGTGTAAGGTAAAAGTATCGATTTCCAAGAAACACATGGCAGACATTTCCAGTGTCTACAGCTTTGGTAGGTGGGGTTCCAGAGAAAGGAGAGGTTTGTTGGGGGTGAAGACTTACAGCCATACGTAAATATATAAATTTGGGAAAAATCTGTGTAGTTTAATAATTCACTGTTGCTTTGATTACCTTCCAATGCTTGAAGTTAATTGCCTGACTAAATTCATACGAGCGTTTTACATTTTCTCATACAGTTTATTATTTGCTGGATTGGCCTGTTGTGAGAATGAAGGGTAATTATTCATCACAAGCATATTTAAGGTCCTTTGTGCCATCTGCTAGCTGTACATGCTTATGCAGCGCAGTAATCGATTTTTTTTTAATGTACAAAATTTCTGTACTTTTGGTGAAGAACTGCAACTTAGAGAAAAAACATTCAGCTCCATTTCAGTGTCTAGGGTAATCACAAGTTCAAGTGACGTGCGACATTTTCCAAAACCTCTCTGGGTGGAGTTGCCTTTTTATGAGTTTGTGCAAAAATGGAAAATAAGTGGGACTGAAAAAATTACTATTTTGAAGAGAGGGAAAGTGGATATAGTGTATCTGCTACAGAAAGGCATTCTATTCCTTTTGGCACAGTAAACTTAATTAAATAGTTGCATTTTAAAATCTTTATGAGAATCTTAATTATTAATGACATCAACAGGCTGAAAAAAATGTAGGTTAGGTGTGGGGAGAATTTGGCTCTGCAAAAACATTACTTAAAAGCAATTTTTTTTTGCATGACTGAGCACATGTGCACACAGACTAGATAGTCACACTTTACAATGAGGTTACAGTTATAAATTATTCATAAAGTGTTGGTAAACACTGTAGGCTATTACAGAATCCACAGAGTCCATAGTTTTGTTATAACTATGTGTAACACCCTCAAGTAATGTGCCATCACGTATAATTTATGAAAGTAATACTAGTAGTATTGTTTATGATGTATATTAATAATTTATTAATCCTTTATGAACTATTTATAAATACAATTTTAATGGAAAGCATGGCTGACTAGTTACTCCATCACGCCAGCTGTATGGGAGTTAAAGGTTGCATGCCTCTGCCCCTGCTTTTTAACAAGCCAAGCAATCTTTAGACAAGGCAACTCTCACTATTTCCTTACATGCTCCTAGGAAATTAGAAATCTGAGAGAAGCATTACAAAGAGGTTTCGCCTGTAAGAAAATGCACAGAATCCTTTTTTATATCTTCTCCAATATTTCAGTAGAACAGGTCCATTAGACAAAACTCCTTGCAGTTGTTCCATGCATATCAAAGTCTATGAAATTTTGATACCTTAGGATTCTTGTATAGTTTGGTACATCAGACCAACAAAACACAGGCCATATTTCTAGGAACTGAGCAGAGGAGGGTTGCTTTGTAGGTGTGCATATCCATCAATCCTTATGGTATCTATCAGAAAATGGGTGATGTAACAGAAATTACTGCTATAGTCTAGGCTACCATAATGTCTAGGAAGAGATCCTGGCTTGCAGGATTATTTTTCTGCTCCAGAGAACTTCTGCCTGCTAAGGTACAGCCACTTCTGCTTGCAGCAGGCAAGCTCCACTAACTTTCATGTGACGGTGAAGTTTTATCGCTGCTCTTTGCTTCTTTATGCATGCTGAGAAACCTCTTGCTGAGGCATTTGAGATCAGAGTACCATCCCCATGCATTAATTCTTCACTTATTCTTTTGCAGGAAACAGACCTCATTCTGACCTTTAATATCTCAATGCATCGTTCTTGGTGGATGGAGAATGGGCCAGGCTGCACCGTGACCTCAGTAACCCCAGCACCAGACTGGGCACCAGAGGATCATCGTTATATCACTGTCTCGGGGTGTTTTCTTGAATATCAGTACATAGAGGTGGCTCACAGTTCTCTTCAGATCTTCCTTGCAGTAAGTGTTTATAGATAACTTCACTTCCACCATCTTTTCTGGATTTCTTCTTGCCATTACCGGAATAGCAGAGGATTGTGACATTCATTCACAAACCCTGGCTCTAAGTCTTAGTTTAGTTATGAAATTCTGTTCTCTTTCAGCTAGTTTGAGATACCTGCATGCAAAAACCTCCAACAAACATATTTATTATTCTTCTAAGAACTGCTGACATGATACACTCTGCTTTCCTGGCCTCGATTTTGACCACTGAGTGTCCCACAAGCCTCTGATAGCAGGTTACATTCAAATGACACTATAGTATATAACTCGTGACATAACAAGAAGTTACAGCTATTGTTGTGAAAGCCAAATTGAATATAAAAGAAAATCCAACAGTAAAAACAGATTCACTGATCAGTGTGTAGGACTCAAATCTCATCAATTTCTCTTTAACCATATTAATCCATAGGCATTGGAGTACAATGGGAAAAGTTTTCCAAAAAAAATGTTGCATATGAATGAAAATCAAACCCAGAAATCTTAAATCTTTTTTAGGAGTATAAGAATCCACTGCTACACTGCAGAAAATTTCAAAGGGATGAAAGTCACTTGTTTTCAGGGAACAATATATACTGTGGCCCACAGTTACCCAAAAAAGTGAGCAGTTTTTCCATCTGTCTATTCCCCAGTATTTGTTATCACTCAAGTTTAACTCATGGAATTATAGCTTCATGGAATCATTTTGATTGGAAAAGACCTTTAAGATCATCAAGTCCAACCCTCAACCCAGCACTGCCAAGCTCAACAGTAAACCCTGTATTTAGTGCCACATCTACACATCTTTTAAATACCTCCAGGAAAGGTCACTGAACCATTAACCTGGGCAGCCTCTTCCAATGCTTGACAATCCTTTCAGCAAAGACATTTTTTTTAATATCCAACCTAAACCTTCCCTGGTGCAAGCTTGATTCTACCCTGACACAAGCCAGGATGCCATTGGCCTCCTTGACCACTTGGACACACTGCTGTCTTATGTTCAGCCAGCTGTTGACCAGGACCCCTAGGTCCCTTTCTGCCTGGCTGCTCTCCAGTCACTCTGCTTGTAGCACTGCCTGGGGTTGTTGTGACCCAAGTGCAGGACCCAGCACTTGACCTTATTGAACATCATACCATTGGCCTCAGCCCATCAATCAAGATTCCTCTGTAGAGCCTTCCTACCTTCAAGCCATCAAAAGTAGATAACTAGGACAATTTTTCTGCCTTTTTTTTTTTAATTTAGTGAATGATGAACAAGAAACTTAAGGAATATATAGTTCAAGGTCAATTCTGTTCCTGATGCAACAAGGTTTTCAGTGTTTCTGTGTTTAAATAGAGCTGTGTTTCTAGACTCATTCTTTTCAAGTCAGCGTAATGGTTCAAAATAACAAACCATTGGTATTTTGCTAGCTGTAGCCAACTACATCTGCATTATATTTCCATTTGTGTTAATCTAATTGTGTTAATCACTTACATGATTACCATAAGTAAAGAGCTGCTTGTGTGGGTCAGTTTTCCAAATCTGGTGCTTGAGTACTGTTTCCATCACTTTTGCATTCCCAGTTGTGGTCATGGGGTTCTTTTTCTAATAGAAATGCTAGTCTAAGTTCACTATCACATGAAATGTTATGAGAAACAGAAGAATTACCTGGTACTACTCAGTGACATATAACACAAAGGAAGAAGAGCAGATACTGCTTGTTTTCCAGCAAATTAGCTGTAACAAACCCAAGTATTAGATCTGACCTATCTCCAGTTAGTAGAAAAAAATTAATCTTTCCCTTCAATTTTCTTTTATGGACACTTAAATAGAAATCGTACTTTACTTGTAAACCTAAATTTCAACCTATGAATTGGATACTTGTTTTCTATTTGTATTTCTGTATATTCATGACAATGATCATGCTAACGCTGACCTTGGCTTTTTCATAGACTGGTGGCACTGCAGCATGTTTTTAAGGATGCTTTCTACTGCCTACAGACAAAAAGTTGCAAAGTTATCCTGCTTCATTGAGGACCACTTATATCAGCCTTTGGAAACATTATGCTGAGTTTATTTTGTACTGCTTGGCTGTAAGCTCACAAGTAATGCAACTACAGAAGGTTAGGCTTCATGTAGATGTGATAATTGCAGTGGACAGTGAAAAGAATATGACAGCTAAGATAAAAACTATAAAGCCTTCATGGTTTGTACTTTCTAAAAAGCAAGTCTTAAGGTGGACTGTGAAATATTTCAAGAATTCCAGACAGATATTCTCCTGATGAGGTGTAAAAAATCTCATAGTCTCCAAGAGAACTTCTCACCTCAGAGAAATGTGTCCCAGAAGCAAACAGCAAGAGACTGTGCATCATAAAAATGCTGCTGCCAATTTTGTGCAAGTAAACATAGATTCTAGATTTTTAAGGGTGAAATTTTGGAGACTTTTCATTTCTCCTACTTCTTAAACAAAACAGCAATTAAGACAACCAGAAAGTTACAGAATCCAAAAAAGTCAGGGGAGTCCCCAGTGTGCATAGTGGTGGCGTTCATTTTGTAGTACCAGCCTTAAAATAGTAGAGAGATAGATGTGATGATGCATAGATATTTTGCCAGCTTCACCTGAGGAGTGTATTTTGTTCAGATTAAAAAAATAACTGGAAAAAATTGCTAGTTTAGCTCACACTGAAGTAATAGAAAATTCAGTTTGGTGGTCTCTATACATCAACCAGCAGAATGCTCATGGTTTAGAAAAACTTCAAAATAGGAAAAAATTATTTCCAAACTAATGTGTGGAATAAAATGCTCTGATAAATAAAGAATTATCTCAGTTTGGGTATTTAGCATTTATGTGTACGCAAAGCAGGGCTAAAATAACCCACAGTGATAATAAGGACAGCAATCACTCCTTTGTCCCATGACACAGAGCACTTATTGCATTGGGTGATGCTTGTGGAAGACTATAGCCTCTGTAGAGCCTAACAATATATCAATTCTTGTATCACATATGTAAAAAAATGACCACATAATGCACATTTATATCTGTCTTGTAGCCATTCCCATGTCAGCACATTACATCTTGCTCAGTTGATGTCAGATTTTTTTTTCATGTTTATGGAAATCTATTTTGAAAAGCTTCTACTGCTTCTTTACTCAGTTATGTGGTAGTTGCCTCTCTGAAGTGAATCAGCACCAAAATCTCAGTGCAACACACCATGTTAAGTCAATTTTTAATCTGTTCTTCATATCCATACCTCTCGCTTGATTCTTTTCAGACTAGGCCACATTGCTATCACTTTATCTCTGCATATTACCATCTTCCAGAAAGTTAAAGAGAGAAAGGGATTCTGAGTGAATGCAAGAAAGGGGAATCTCTTTCATTCTTAAGTACAGCTTTGCAGGCTTGCAGTGCTGTAAAATAAACAAACATTTTGTGGGCATGTCCTGCAGCACACAGATATATGGAACTGAATAGAACCGTCAAAGGCCAGATTTTCTCTGCTTTCTGTGAAACCCTGGGCTCTGGGAAAACATCTGGAGAGATCCAGAAGGGCCAGTGGTATCCTGGGGTGCATTGGGAAGAGTGTGGTCAGCAGGTCAGGGAGGTGATCCTCCTCCTCTCCTTGGGCCTAATGAGACTACATCTGGAGTACTGTATTCAGTTCTGGTCTCCACAGTTCAGGAAAGAAAGGTGGTACAGAAGAGGGTCCAGTGGAGTGCCACAAAGATGATTAGGGCTCTGGAACTTCTCTCTTATGAGTAGAGACTGAAGGAGCTGGGCCTGTTTAGTCTAGAGAAGAGAAGACTGAGAGGGGATCTCAGTAACACACATAAATATCTCAAGAGGGTAGTGCCAGACCCTTTTTAGTGGTGCCCAGTGACCGAAGGAGGGGTAATGGCCATAAACTAAAACAGAATAAGTTCCATCACAACATGAAGAAGAACTTCTTTATATTGGGGCTGGCAGAGCACTGGCTCTGACCAGGGAGATTATGGATTCTTCCTCTCTGGAGAAATTCAAAACCCACTTGGACACAACTCTGGATAACCTGCTCTAGATGACCCTACCTTGGCAGGAGGGTTGGACTAGATGATCTCCAGAGGTTCCTTCCAACCCTAAAAATTCTGGGATTCTGTATTTTTATGGCACAATTCCCTAATTTTCTGTCCTCTCCAATTCTTGGTGAATCATAGCTGAATCTGCAAAGATGAGATCTTAGCTTCATCACACTTTGACAGCAACAGTTATTTAATGCTTTGCTGATACATGCAGAAAAAAGGCATCATTTTGGCCACAGCTAATTCAATTGTTTTATTGAACAAAACTAACCCTTAATGGAGCCTATGCTCACATACAGGGCAAAACTCTTCACTCAACTGTTCTCTCCCAGGAAAGTCTCATTTACAGAGCTACGACATCTTGAGCACCTGGCCTATTCAGTATGCTCTGCAAGGACCACAGCTCTGCCTGTCCATGGTGCCTACAAATTACCAAAATGAACTGGTCTAGTGATGGCTTGACTTGTATACCCATATGCTTCAGACAATAAAACATACTTATGTGCTTAATGGTTATTGATTCTTGTTGCTTACATTAGAGAAGCTATTTCATTTTCAGACCTACTGGGTTATCAAGGATAGATATACTTAAATTACTGATCTCTGGAGAGAATTCTTCCAGGTAAAGAATGAGGTCAGTGATAATAATGGGGATTTGATTTGCAACTATTTGAGTTTCGCTCTGTATAGTATTTACAGAGTGGAAGGCTGAATGGTAGTTCCCACCCATTCCTAAACAATAGGAGGTACAGCTGTCACTTCACGATGAAGAGGGCAGCACTTGGGAGGGACACAGTGCAGGTTATACACACCTGCTAACCTTGGCATGTAATGTCAGGGCTTAAGATGGTCATTGACTCTGTGTATAAATAGTATTTGCATCCCAGCCTTTCAGTCATACAGCTGAAAAAGAGTCATAAGCTCGCAGTCCACAAGCCCCCCTCCC